TGAAACCAAATAAAAAAAAAATACCTGTAAAATAATTGATGACCAATTTTTACTCAAATTGTGCAGAAGCATATTGATATCCCTCAGCATAACAATAAACTTTTCAAGTTAAAACCAACAAAATTAAAAACCCTCAGGAATTCTAGATCTTCTCGTAAAACAGCATGCTGGCATTTGCACCCAACACGTCTTTTTCCGAGACACTGTAAACTTCAGAATCCGAAATACAAAACCATTGCTCGATAGAAGATTCGAGCAGGGCCACGAGATCTTCATCCCCTAATCGACCCGTCACTTTTCGGTAAACAGTGTAGTGCCCTCCCAAACTCGAGCCAAAGTGCACCACAACTGAAACTAAACGGTACGTTTGGTGTCTCAATGGTGGCAAGGGTAAATTAGTACTTTCCTGCAATGATTGACAAAAACGCACGCAAATGAGACCAAAACACCCCGACTGTGAGAATGGTACTGGAAACACTGATACCGAATTCACGTTTGCATTTATTTTGGAAAGAGTACTAAAAGAAGCACATCTGAGTTTGGCGTTAGTTATGAAATGACATCAAAAAGTTTTGAAATCGAAACAAGAAACACCCTGAGGTGTGATTCTGTTATAACATGAATGGGTTAGCTATAGTATTATAGTGTATGACACATGTAATGTAAGAAAGGTTTAAACAAATCTTCCTTAAATTAGAGAAAAAAATTAGGATAATCAAACCACAAGGANNTTTTTCTGTAGTTACCGCATACTCAAAGGTAAACTTTTGCAATCATATTTTTATTCGGCAAATTATCCCCTCAAAAAGAATGAAACTTGTTGAATAGTAAGATGTTTATAACTTTGATCAATAAGTGGGCTTTTCATAATTGTAGTTAACATGCTATCAAATAAATGTTTGTCCTATTTTCATTTCTCCCCTGATTACTAGATGACTTGAGAGAGAGAGAGAGAGAGAGAGAGAGAGAGAGAGAGAGCATACATTGGTATTAGCACGTCTTTCAGAATCGAGCAAGCTAGACTCGGAAGCTTTCAAACAAGGACCATTATTGACTGCAATGGTGTTTTCCTGGTTGCCAGATGCATTTGTTTCGAAGCAAGTGTTTTTTGCTGAGTGTAGCTTTCGTGGACTGACGAGCGTATTTCGGTACTTGGGAAAAGGGAAGGACCTTATTTCCCTAAGACTTGGGTTAAGTGGACCAAATTGCGACTTTGACGTACTTTTTCTTCCAATTCCAGTATTCATAAACTTAGATATATCCAAGATGGAAGGAAATGAGATATGGCCCTGAAGAAACAAATAATATAAAGCTCAATCGTTTACGTCATCCCTAAAGATTAGCTTAAGGGAGAAAAGAAAAAGAAAAAGAAAAAGAAAAAAAAAAGGAAATTAAATTTCAGGAGAAGAAAAAGTAGTGCTCCTAAATACCTGAAGTTTCACCGACTGCCCAAACATGTTGTACGAAGCTCGTTGCAAATGAATGCATAAAATCTGCAAATGTATAAATATGTTATGAAAATAGAAAAAAATGTAAGGCAAGAAAATAATTAGTGTGACAGTTTCTCAAGTAAACGACGTTTTACATTCAGCATTTGGATGCATGCACACGTTTAAGAATAGAGATGCAAAAAATAAGTATCTGAANNGTCCTCATTCTGTAGTCCAATACATGATTGTAAAACATCAATCGACCAACTGCATTCATAACCAGATTTATAGATCTTTAAAACATCCACTAAAAGGAAATGGATAATAATAGTGCCCGTACCTTTGGGCTTCGTGAAATACTCATTTGCTTCAAAGTACGAGAGAACCTGTTTGACCAAGGAAATGCTTCGAGGGAAGAGAGTTTTTTGCACACACAAGAATCATCCTTATTACAGTTTTGAAGTTTTTCAACGACTGTCTGCAACAAAAACACATAATAGTGAAACAAATGGAAATGCATACAGTATCAATTCGAGAGAATAATATTCTGCAAAATGGTTAGAAGCATCAATAGTAGGATATGGAAACAGCTATAGACCCCCTAGAGTTGCATTAAATTTGCAAAAGCAGCCCTGCGATTTAGCATAATTCCAAAGGATGCTATTATCTTTTGGAATAATAATATCCCATAAAGATATTGCAAACACCAGCTTGAGGCTGTATTTATTTACCAATTCCCTGTTCATATGGTGCATTCAGTAAAATATAGAAAAAGATGTCAAAGGTGATGGCATTTGCAATTTTAAAAGATTGCCTGGTGAACCTCATATGGCAAATTTTGCTAATTAGCCTAATGTTTAAGCTGGGCTTACAAATCCAAAAATCAGATTACGGAAGTAAAAGGCAAAATGAAACCTTATCTTCAGCAAAAACCGATGAATACTCAATAGCAGCATTATGCCAACAATTGTTGCAGCAATAGTTCTCAACATGTTCTGCCATAAAAAAATTCTTAAGGCAATCCTCCAGGGTGCATCCAGCCATCTAACAAAAGGGCAAAAAACACAGAGAGAGAGCATAATAATGATGGTGGAGTCAAATAAAGAGGACTACAATGAAAGAATGAAAAATATTCATTAACATACAATTGTTGAGCCGCTGCTGATTGGAGGTGAAAGGTGTAAAGTGTGAAACAGTTGAAAATCTAGAGAGATCTGTAGAAGTTAAAAAGAGGATGTAAATAAATGCTACTGAACAAAGAACCACCAGTTTGATATCACCAGAAAAAGGATAAAGGTATGAATATTAATATGGTCGGTCTACGAAGTTACTCAATAATTCCATTTATTTGTTTGGTTTATTTACATATAGTGTAATTTCGGCCTAATTGGAGAAAAGAAGGGGAAGAAAGCCAGCTGCCTCCCAAAATTGTGAACAGCACTAGTTCACAAATTGCAACCCGAATATATCATAAGTAGGTGTCTGTAATATCTTAATGGAGTACTTGTAATTTCGCAACATAATTGGTTTTGTAATTAGGCTTTAATGTGATAGGTAGCTGTGGTAATCTACATTTCATTTTTAAAATAAACCATCTTCACATCTAATTTGAAGAATGTAGATTCAACTAAATCATACAATCCCTCTATTTAAAATGGTACCGAGAGAAAATCCAAATCATATATTAAAGCAAAAATCTTACTAGTACCATTCAACCTGAAACGAACAGCTTTGGCAAACTAAGTTGCTGCAAACAATCCCATCAAAGGGCTTCAGAAAACAGCGAGCCCATCTCTGGAATTCAGTTTCCCCCTCATGGCTCCTTGAAAGAATCCTACCATTTTGAAGCACAGGCAAATCTGCTAAGCAGCTTATATTAGGGGCACAATGTTCTGCTATTTCTTCTCTCAAAGAAGATAAAAGAAGTGAAAAGGCTTCCTCAGCATCCTACAATCATGCGAATCAAATGAAAATGAGACATACAATACTTCCATACGGATAAAAGTAGAAGGAATAACCACAAGAAGTACACCTGAGGTTCAGAATAATTAAAAAGGATAATTAAGTTTGGAAAAAAAAATGAGGTTAGATTCTGCTTTAGATTTAAGGAAGTGACTGCAATAATCTATGAATGCTACGTGGAGTTCTTAAAAGCTGTCTGTCAATGAATGGGTAAAACATTAGAAGGAATCAAACCTCAAGGAGAAAATGGTAATTTCTGAAATGTTATGAGTTTATTTATAAATACCCCAAACCTCAGTAGTAATTTTCGCAACAACCCCAAACTAAAATGGTAATCAAAAGAGCACCTGTTGACTGGTTAGACTGAAATTTGGAATGTAATGTTCCATCATAACCATCAATTTCCGAGGACTTAGTACAGTTGTTGTATGCCGAACAGTACATAATTCTGCAAGATACAATGATGTCCATCAAGCAATGCTGCAGATTAACATGAATTGTCCGTTTCATTTTTATTTAAAAGAACTGGTAGTAAACAATTTATCAGACAAAAACAATATCCAATTCAGTTTTCTGTATGACAGCTTATTCTTATTTTCACTAAGATCAAGGTATCTATGTTACAGCTGTGCTGAGACTGCTGCTAATAGTTCATGTAATGCGACATATAGCACTTTGTGCAGTTGATCAGGTAATAGCTTGTTCAGGAGTAACAGGCAAGAAAACACCAGTAGAATAAACAAGAGTAGCATGGAAAATAACACGCGAAATTTACTAGCAACCTAAGTTACCTAAGAAAGGGCGAAAAATATGTCAGACAAACATAGAACAATATAATATTGCGAATGATATTCATGAATGAATAAAACATTTACCGTGAAAGATCTACAAAAATCAACAAAAAAAAAAAAAACTATTATCGCACTTCATACACAATAGTTAATGCTATAGCAAGATCACACACTACAAACACCTAAACATGTAAAAAGCAGTTGTCTTGATCCAAATTCCCATATTACGGTACACATACAAATCAACTGACCTTCCACTAGTGAATTCAATGAATTAAATAAAGGTAAGCTTCCATCTCCTTCTTCATCCGATAATAACCCGTATTCTTCCACCATTTCCCGAAGGTAATTTCGAAAGCTCGGACAGCTTGCCAAAGCCTAAAACATAAATTAGTAGACAAACAAGTGATAAAATCGACGGACAACGAAATGAAATGCAAATGAGTAAAACTAATTCATAGGGGTAGGCATAACAAACACAATACCGATAGCTTACCGCTAAGCAACTAACACACCTCAAATCACCAAAATAACTACCTAACATTATTCAGTCATAGGATTTACACGTCATCGCCACATAACATAACATGAATAGTGCTGAAAGATAATGTCAAATTCCTTGGCACCTATGTATATAACCCGTTTAACCTACAGTTCACTTGACCACAGAACAATGTTAACTGAACACGAAAAACAAGAAAATGTCCAAAATAAACTAATAAAAGCTACAGACAATCAAACCAAAGATTGGGGAAAACGAAATTCGAATAATCAACTTCTACCTGCAAAACAACATTCAGGAAACAGTTGTTCCCAAGATTCTGCAATCCGGGGACAACCCAAGACCTAGGATAAACGTTGTCCTGATCCGAGGAGCTCAAGGCGAAGTACCATCTGCCTTTAATCAATAAAGCCACACCTACAGCGCCCAACACGCCGGCTGATACTGATACTTTTAGGCCCGGATTAAAAACCCAGTTGATATTGGAACCATACTCCGGTTTGCGAAATAAGGAAGTGAATGTTGTATTCTCGGAGATTTTCATTCAGGCAAACCGCCGGTGAAGTGACTCGGCCGCTGATTTTCCGCCGTGGATAAGGAATCTTCCACGAGTGTTGTGTTGGCTTTACAGAGCCCCGTTTGCTTTTGGTTCAAGGGACTTGTGCATAGTATATTGCAAGAGACGATTTACATAGGTTAATTTAAGTTTTACTACTCCAAATTGTGCTAATTATGTATTTTGCGTTTTGCCCCAATTAATAAGGGCGTGATTGTATATAATTTCTACAGTAAATATCCCACTCAAAACTCAAATTTAACTCAACTCCACTATCTTCAATATTATCAATATAATTAAATAATATCAACTAATCATTATTACACACCACATTAACTTTAATTCACTATTCACACACTCACATAATTTTAACTAACCATCACTTCCAATCATTTTCTCTTACTTTTACATCAAATCAACTTTAACTATTTTAATTTAAATATTATTTTACTATATCCACTAACAACTAACCATACTACTTTTTTTCAAATTTAACTATAGTTAAGAAAAAACTAGTTTTTTACTAGTTGAATTCATATCCAATCACCCCCTAAGTAGTTCTGACTTCTGACCCACCTCATTTTATTTTATTTTCGACAGCAAGTAAGGGGGGATTGGATATAGTTTGAAGGAATAGTAAAAAAAATCAATCAAAATTTAAATTTAACTCAACTTTAAACACTATTTTTAATATTTTCAATATAATTAAATAGTATCAATCAATAATTCTTACACATCACATTAACTTTAATTTACTATTTATCTACTTACATAATTTTAACTTATCATCACTTCCAATCATTTTTCTCTTACTTTACGTCAAATCAACTTTAATTATTTTATTTAAATAATATTTTAATATATTCATTAATAATTAATTATATCATTTTTTTTTTCAAAATTAACTATAATTAAAAAACAAACTAAATAAAAACTAGTTAAATTCATATATAATTGCCTTGTCTCGTTCTTTAAAGCCCAACAGCTTCATTGGGCCAGCGTTTCCAGAGTCTTCTTCCATTCACAAGAAACCCTAATCCATACACTATATAATTCTCTTCCCTCAACGTTCCTACGAACATATTCCACTCTCTGTTTATACTTTTTACTAGCATAGTGTTTTTTTTTTTTCTCTGAATGAAAATTGGGGTCGTTGATGAACAATCAAAAGGCTTGTTTCTCAAAAACATTCGCAGTGGCCGCCTGAGAACTTTCGCCTTTCGCCGGGCTTGAGAGTTTTTGCTGCTTTTTCTCCTTCCTTGGATGTCTGAGACTCTGAATTGTTTTCTTCTCTGCTTAATTTGATTTCTTCTGCTGATTGTGATTTTGAAAGATTGTTTTTTCATATGAAACCAGATTTTGGGACATCAATGTCTGCCCCTCAAGCAATGGAAACAAATCTGATTTGCTCGAGGGATGATTAGTCCCTCAAATCGAAATGTATTTTCTTATCCGTCCACACTTTATCAGCAATTTTCGTTTTAGTATCTTGCTGGTCATTAAGGATGGAAAATTTTTGTTTTATTTTTTTATTAAATTTTTAATTTGTCTCTAATTATTGGTAAAATTATGTTATTGTTTGTCGATGATGATAAATCCGAAGGCTTGTTTCTCAAAACATTCGCAGTGGCCGCCTGAGAGCTTTCGCCTTTCGCCGGGCTTGAGAGCTTATGCTGCTCTTTCTCCTTCCTTGGATGTCTGAGATTAATTTAGATTTTTAAATGCTCTTTTGTTTGTTTTGTTGATGGTTCACATTGCTTTTTGTCAGAATTTATTAATGTTTTTTATCAATATATATTATTCGGTTTATCGATATACATCGACTGTTAATTATTTATTTGCTGCAAAAATGATTCAATTCAAAAGTGAATATGAAATTTTGTGGTGAATAAATTAGTAGCTTTAATTGTTCGCTTGAAATTGAAGCGTTCATTTGGCATTAATCTTTAGGAACACCAAATTGTGAAACCAACCTTTTTTTATTGGTACTAATTTTTAAGAGAATATAAAATATCACAATATTTGTTTTTGCGTATCAAGTATTTTTTTTAAACCACCTAGATGGAAAATAACACACCACTTTTAGATCAAATCCCCAAAATTCAAATTAACATTCGAAAAAACAAAATCGACACAACGGATTAATGTTTTTTTCAATTCGATTGGGTCGTTTTGCACTCCATATATCTCTTCTCTTCGAGCCCCTTGAACCATAAAAAAATTCAGTTCTAGATTCGCCTCCTCGTTGCTTACGCTCTTCTCCTTCGGAAGACTTGTGCCGACGTCAGCAACGTTGCCCCCTTGTGCGTCATTCGTGTGCTGCGGCTGATGTTAGACTGGTTAGCCTTTGCAGTGGTTTGGGATGTCAGTTTTTGGCTGTCTTAGGATTGCGAATGTAAGGTGCTGTTTGATGGATTGAAGGCTTAATTTGGGTCAAGAGATTTAGTTTTAGTTAAACATAGTCAGATTTTGAGTCTAGAGTTAGTTGGACATGAGTTTTTTGACTGATATTCACGGTTGAGGTCGAGCTTCTTTCCAGACAATTTTTGATTTGCTGTTTTGGGATGTTGTAGACATGTAATCCAAGTATTGTTAGACGGTGGCTCGGGAGGGGTTTATTGTTTCATTTTGATATGTGTGATAGTTGTTCTGATACTTTTTTTTTTAAGTTTTAGTTTTTTAGGTCTACTTTTGTTGTGTTTGGTTTCAGTCTCTTTTGTTTGAAACATATAAATCAATATAATGGATTAATAAGTACAATGATATTTACAGAGGATTCTTATGAAATTGAGGTTCTTGATTTGAATCACTCTAAATGTTACTACTAGCTATCATCACCTCTAAATGTTACTCTAGAGTTAGAACATTCATCTCTATTTCTCTATTTTACGTTACATCAAATATATTATTTTTTTATTTATTTTTTATTTCAAATTATTTAGTATATATGTATATTTAATGTTATAAAATGTTAAATATTCAAATAATTAAAATAATTTTATTTATTTTTATTCAAATAAATTTGTATCATTTTAATATTAAAAAATTACAAAAATAAAATTATAATACATCGATAAATACAAAATACAAAATTATTTAGCATAACATACTCCTTCCGTTTCTTATTAAATGTCGTTTTAATTTAAAATTTCTAAATTACGATTTTAATGGGTTGTGTAATAATCTTATTTTTTAATCTTGTTAAATTTAGTTTTTGAATTATTAATGAGTGATTTTTAAAGATAATGATAAGAGATAATGTTTGTTAAAGAGAATAAAGATGTAAGAATGAATATAATATTTTCAACGACAATTAATTTGCAAAAAAGTTGACACCCTACAACGACATTTAACAAAGTATTTAGCATAAATATACATTTTACAAAAGTATACCAATAATAATACACAAAAAAAAAAAATTTAAATTGTAGCGATAAGCTACAGTGTTGCTTGCATATGGCGCAACTTTGTTCTCGACTTTCATCTGGCGCAACTCTGTTCTCGATTTTCATCTGGCGCAGAAGTGTGGCGCCGCATTGGAGGAGAAATCCTCGCTCCTCCAGCACAAAATCTCATTGAGCGCACAAAATCTCACATTCAACGCAGCGCTGGAGTTACTCTTATATTAAGCAATGTATACTAATTGTAGGGTCAGGCTTGAGTTTGATGTTTTTGTGAGGATGGGACTGTAGAGCGGAAAAATTTGTGCGAGCGTTGCTCGCATTGCTAGCCTAAATGAGTTGTTGAGGATGTGATGCATTGGAGGTGTTTGTAGCGTTAGTGACGCGATGTCTGCGAGAAACTTGCACGTCGGTTAACGTTAGCGCACGAGACTAGCTAGTATTAAAATTTCAGGGTTTGTATGCAAGAAATCTAAAAAAAAAAATCTATATTTTAATTCAATTACTTTTTTTATCTTAATTTTAATTCAATCTCAATATCATCAATATTATCAATCATTCATACATACCACATTCACTTTAATTTACTATGTGTTTACTCACCTTATTTTAACTAATCATCACTTCAAATCATCTCTCTTTTATTTTTACATCAAATCAATTCTAATTATTTTATTTTAAATATTATTTTCATACCTACTAAAAACTAACCATACATCTTTTTTAAAATTAATCAAATCAAACCAAAAAATCTAACAAAATCAGAAAAAATTATATCCAACAATGCACTTACCCTTCAAAGTTGCACACTCGGGGCATAAATTTAAATACATGGGACTGAATTATTTCTATGTAATTTCATATTTAATTTTAATACTATACATCATGACATCATAACATACAATGATTAAAATGAATTAAATTTAAATACATGTAATTCTATATTTAATTTATAAATATTATTTTGTTGTTTGTGTGGTTTGTGAATATCAAGGAGATTACTTAAGGAGAATAAAGAAAACAAAAGTAAATCAAAGTTGAGTAATGTAATAGTTAGGACACCATAGTTAACGGCAAATGTCTCAAATATATGATTTTTAACTTGTATATAGCGGTATTTTAAATATAAAATCTCTAATGAACAATACTATTGGTTGGAACTTTCAATATTCAATGCAAAATCAAAATTAAAAATGTAATGCAAGTGCTCTTAATTTTTCAAGTTCTGAATAATTTTATGTTTTTGTATCTTTATTAAATGTAGAAAAATGCCTCAAAGAGATATACGTGTCAAAAGACACCCTTTGAGACGTGTTCGAACAAGAAAGGTAGCATCTAAAGGCCAAAAAATTCCTTATGGTCATCAGAAGTCGCGACCCTCCACTGGTCGCGGTCAACTGCGCGCCCGTGTGCCGCGGGAGGTCATCTGGAGTTGGAATTGAGTGCTGTTTCTTCCTACTAGTCTTCAACGAACTCTTATGGAGTTCTAACCTGCAAAATGTATGATCAAGTCTCGTTTGACTTAACCAAACATTAGGAAAAGATATTTTTTTTAATCCAGTAATATTTAAGTTAAATAGAGGTAGAGGTCGGCCTAAACTTACTTGAGAAGAGTCAGTTAAGAGATACCTTAAAGATTAGAATATCTCCAAGGAATTAACGGTGGATATGAGCGCTTGAAGGCTAGCAATCAACGTGTCAGAATCGTGACTTTTGCTCCAATCTCTTCCTTTTGTTTTTTAGCCTCTTTTTGTGTTTCTTTTACCTTTGGTTCTCTTGGGTTTCATCTCTAGTCTACCCCTAAAAGACTATGTTGTTGTTTGTTGTTGTTGTAATAATATTTAAGTTACTTAAACTCAATTGTTCTAACCTTATATTTTTCACATCCACAACTTGTACAATTTTCATTCACATAAAATAATTTTGAAATTTTTCTAAGTTTTTCATTTACAGAATTAAAATCGGTACAAAATCAATTTAGTGCATTATACTGGTATGTATTAGTTTAATCGAAATGGAATTGCATTTTTTATTCAGACCAACTTAATCTTTGGATTCAATATTGCTTAGTTGTTATGGTATTACAGCTTTATAATGTGAAATAACAAAGACAAAAATAGATCTTATTTGCTCTTATTATTTTAAAATTGTGTCTAAATGTTTAAACAAATATTTATAAGACGTATTATTAATATAATAAGCTCTAATGTAATAAAATAGGTTTATACCATATTTTATGTTCATATTGTTGGCGGCCGCCCGTCAACAAAGTAACGCTAGAGGAATGGTGACCATCAAAGGTTACATAGAAATCTCTTTTCTATAAAATGTTGTCTCCAATCAAGATTTTTCCTAAAACACCATCTTTCGTTCTTTTTATATGTACATACTGTTCCTTTCGAAATAAGGCCGGCATGACCGTCCCTCTTTCTCATTTTATGATTGGCCGATCCCTCTATCTCCCATCACCTCGTTCCTTAAACCTACATTCACTACTAAAAATAGTTGACAGTTTTTTCTCCTCGAATGTAATTCTCAAAAAGAAATGTTTATCCCATCCCAAGACCTTAGGGCATGTTTGTATATAGATATATCCGCTCACAATGAGTTTATTTTTGTTCATTAGTGTTAATTTTGTAAAATGTATTATGATTAGTTATTAATGGAATTTTGAGTTTATAGTAAAATCTATATATATATATATATATATATATATAATTGCTGACAAGTTTCAATAAATTTTATTCAGTCAACAATTAATAAAAATAGGACTTTATTTAATAAAAACTTTTGTGATCAGCATTCAACTGACAGTCACACAAGTAAAATCTTATTATTATTAATTTTCTATTCAGTAACAGTTTTACAAGATTTTAAATTTTCTGAATATACAATATTAAATTATTTTACAACTAATATTCTTATTTTGTATTATAGTTATACAACTAATGATTTATTTTACTACTAATATTTATATTTATATTATACATTTATATATAGTCAAAATTTTAAAATGTAATACACACATTATCTAATTTAAATTTTTAAATTCCATATGCGTGCATATAATATATAAATTTCTGTTTTCCTCTGTACATGTACACATGGTCAAATAGTAATATTTAAAATAAAATAATTAAAGTTAATTTGATGTAAAAGTAGGAGAGAGATGATGTGAAGAGATAGTTAGTTAAAATTATGTAAGCAGATGAATAGTGAATTAAAGTTAAAATAATATGTAAGAATAATGAAATGATATTATTTAATTATATTGATAATATTAATAATAATAGTGTTGAATTAAAGTTGAATTAGACTTTGAGTATGATTTGACTATGAATTAATAACAAAAATTATAAACAAACCCACCCCTTAATAAAATATTTACATAAATTGGTGGCAATATTTCACACTAGAAATATGTTTTATTGTTTTGAGGGAACAAAAAAGTAAAGTTTAGCCGATTTTTATATGAAAAAAAAAAAAAGGGAAAAAGAAAAAGAGAGAGCCCCCAAAAGCAGTGGGAGCTAACGAAAGCGAAGGACATTCAAACATTTGAACAACAGACCGCCATGTCTTCACGAATTTTCATGCCCAAAAGAGAGAAGAAAAGAAAGTCCATAAAATCTCCGTCAAATCTAAGGGTTATGTGAGATCCGAGAATCTTGTGAATCCTCGCCGGCGTCTATTTTCATGGCGGAGGCCAAACGCGTGTACCAGGTCTGGAAAGGGCGGAACGTAAGTCCTTTTGTCCAATCGTGCGCGTGTGTGTGTTTCTGTCTCTATTTCTGTTTTCAGGTACATATATTGCTTGAAAGTTTCACCAATCTTTTGATAATCTATTTCCATGGTTGTTTTGGAATCATCAATAATGACCTTTTCTTTTTGGGATTTTGTTGAAGAATATTGAGGACTGTTTCACACAGTTATAATTCTGTATGTAGAGTTGAGCTTTATGTGTGTAATTTTATGAAAGCTTCCTATATTAAGCTCGTTTGGTGAAGTGGGTGTTTGGAACACTTTGGTTACTTGGCTCATTTTCAGAAAGCTTGTCTTGTTCTTTCCTTTCCATTCAAGAATTTCAATGGACTTCAAAGTGACTATTACTCACATACAAAGTTAAAATTGTTTACTGATGCTTCTGTTTAAAATGAGTGTAATTCATCCTGGTTATTTAATGACCATAGTCAGTTTTGTGTTAAAATTTAAGCTTCATTTTCTTCTTTTGCCCCTTAACATGCAGAAATTCTTCTTTGGTGGGAGGTGTATGTTTGGACCAGATGTTGGCTCATTGTCGGTTACTTTGACACTTATATTGGCACCCGTCATCATCTTCTGTGCTCTGGTTGCAAGGAACCTTCTCCATGAATTTCCATCACGAAAAATCGGATATGCTATTCTGGTACTCGTGGTTATCTTCACCGTATATGTTAGTACCAACTCTATATTTTTCTTCATTTCAATTTTAATCTACATTTTCCTTGTATCTAAATTCTCGCGTCCTAAAATTGGTAAGCTAATTCAGCTCTTTTCGTAGGATAGCCACGGAAAATTAGTAGCAACAAGCTAAGTTGTTTTGGTTTAGTGTTCTGTTTGTTTAGTATAGCCGTTTTCTTTCTCTTTGTACAGTTACTTCAACTAGGCCAGTTAGGGCAGTGGTTGCTAGCTTCTTTTTAAGCCTGTCTTTTGGCAGCAAGTATAGGTTAACAACTCTTCGGTTTCATTGCGCAGTCTTTGCCGGGAGTTGTTTCTTATGCTTTTCTTTTTAGTAGGATTCTAGTGCATCCAGATGGATGTTGCTCCTGTATTCTTGTTGAATTGTGTTCGGTTTTGTAACCGGGTTGTACATCTTTCTTATTTATAAAATCAATCGTTCGAAAAAAAAAAATACGAAAAACCCTTACGAATTAATCAATCTTGAGAGAGCACCTTTTCAAGGTAAAAGTACAAACTTCTAGATGATATATGTAATTTCAAAAGAGAAACCAGATTCTTGCAACTAAGCTAACTTTCATGGTAATGTTTGTAACCATACTATTTTTAACTTTATCCTGAAGTTGAGAATGGCTGCAGCTGATCTTGAGAGATCAAGTGCATTCTGCTTGTATGGGCTTGTGTTTTCTTTAGTTACTTTATATGTTCATCTTTTTTATTTTATAATGTTATCATTTTTTCCTTTGATAATAGGTAGTGCTCCTTTTGCTTTTGACTTCGGGTCGTGATCCTGGAATTGTACCACGAAACCCTTATCCTCCGGAGGAAATGTTAGGATATGAATCACCAGCATCTGTTGAAGTGAGTGAATATTTACAAAAACCACAATATCCTCGCACAAGAGAAATATTTGTCAACGGCCTTCCTGTGAGGGTTAAATATTGTGAGACATGCATGGTTTTTCGTCCTCCAAGATGCTCCCACTGTTCAATATGTGATAATTGTGTTGAAAGATTTGACCATCATTGCCCCTGGATAGGTCAATGCATTGGGAAGGTATTTCAAGAATATTCTCTGACTTTAGTGCTCGCTATCCGGTTTACGTCTTTCATGATAAGTTTCCAATGGCATTGACCCATAAAGAACAAGTTTTTGTGGAATTGAAAGATGATTACAATAGCTGAGTTGAAAGAGGTGCTATTTGGTGAGGTATTATATGACATCATTGTCGTTTAGAATGGAGAGCATGTAGTTTAAATAAATTTGACTGATGGTTCAAAATGAGAGCGATCGAGCAGTAGATTATCTGATGGTTCAAAATGAGGTGCTATTGGAATGTGACGTTCAAGGGTAACCAAGCCTCTTGTAGCAATCGCGCTTGTATTATTGCTCTATCTTGTTTTTAACAGTTGATTGTGATATCATTAACTAAACAAACAATTTATTTTGCAGAGGAACTACCGTTCTTTCTTTCTCTTCATTTCTTCATCAGCCCTTCTTTGTATTATGGTTCTTTCCACGTCTGTTCTGCACTTGAAATTACGTGCAGAGAGTTATGGGGCTTTTTGGAAGGCCATGAAAGAGTCGCCAGCATCCGTGGTGTTGATAGCTTATTGTTTTGTGCTATTGTGGTTCATTGGAGGCCTCACGGGCTTCCATGTCTATCTGATGTGCTCCAACCAGGTTCGTTAAGTTTCACCGAACTACAATTGATGTATGCAGTTTTATCTTTTAAAAAAATCAGTTATTCTTGGTTTGATCGCATTAGGTTATGTTTAGTAAAACTAGCCGATAAGCTAGCTTATAGCTTATATGTAATTTTTAAGCTTATAGCTGAAAAGCTAGCTTATATGATAAAAGTTTTTGGTAAAATTAGTTGAAGCTAGCTGAAATAAAAATTTTAACTAGCTTATTTGAAAAGCTACCTAAACAAGCTTATGAGATAAGCTCGAGCTTTTTAAAAAAGCTCGTCCTACCAAACGAGGCTTATTTGAATACAGGAAGCTTATAAGCTAACCAAATAAGCTATAAGCTAGCTTATTTGGCTACCAAACATAGCCTAATCTTGGGTTTTATAACGAGCCATGGTTGTCAGCAGGATTTTATTATTAAAACAATTTGTAGTTATTTTTCCTACCTATTGTTGATTGAAAGTTCAATTAATTACATGATGGTGGAAAGTTTTGGAGACAGCATATAAGATACATTTCTTCATTATTCTCTTTAGTTCTTCTTATTTTTGTATTTGTTCTTTTGTCATGTATTTCTTGTTTTTAATATTTTTTTGTAGTGATTAACTGCTTAACCCTTCTGTAGTACTCCAGACAATTACTTTCATGGGTATATTCCAAAAGATATCTTTAAACGTTGTCTAATTTACAAAAGTTGCAGTTGTAAGGTACAATATGTAAAACATAACAAATGTGAATGTGGAGATATCAGTGATTTTGAAAGACAAATTCATTTTATTTCTTTCCTTTAGTGTTTACTATTTAATTTTTCTTTTATTGCAATTACAGTTTATGTAAGGGTCTCCTTTTTTTTTTGCAATGAACCCTTCTTTGAAAACATAATTTAGTACATATCTTAAGCCCATAACACCCGTTTTGTCAACTGTATAGTCATGAAATTTTGTATGCTGCATTCTATTATAGTTTTTAAATGGCCTGTTGCATGTTTATTGCAGACTACATATGAGAACTTCCGGCGTAGATCGGATTCGAGGATCAACGTCTATGATCGAGGATGCAAGAACAATTTGCTTGAAATACTTTTCGCAAAAACAGAACCCTCGAGAATAAAGCTTCGTTCGTACATTACCGATCAAGAGGTAATCAATAGTGGGTCCTCATACAGACCTCAAAAGAATCGTTTAAGGGAGGATAAAAGAGAAAAAGTAGAAGAAGATGTCGAAATAGGCAATGACCTCTTAAAGATATCTCAACGTCGTGCTTCTGTTGACCTCAGTTAATGGTTATAAATTAGGCCACTCTTTCGTGTTTGTGAATTTTTTGAATTTTTTATATGTGTATTGTACCATATTTTTTTATCATGACGATATAATTTCTTGCTGATAAAGTGTGAATGTTGAGGATAATGTGCTGAATGAAAACATGTACTGTGAAGGATGGGTTTTGGTTGGCAGGTCAATTTTTGGGGGTTGTTTAACAAATTTTATCTTCTGTGTTANCGATTTAAATTTGCTTGCTGCATTTCACTTCAAAAGCTCTAACTTTTGGATTTAGATTTTGATAATTTGTTGTTTTTTGAGATCGTGGGAAAATGGATGGTTCGTTGCAGCATTGATTGATTAAGAAATTTCTGTTTGGATCTTAAAATTATTTGGAGAGTTTTGCGTCAAACTTTGCTGGTTGTAGATTTTCACCGAGGGTAATGCAGTTTATGATTGCATGGTAGTGTTGAAGATACAAATTTTAGGTATTTTTGTATATTAATGCATTAATTAAAAATAAAATTTAAATTGAAGCATGCAATCAACAAACTATGTGTCATGACTATCTCGTTAGAGCATCTCTAAATTGAAGGCTGTTAACAAATAAAAATATGTCATATCATGAATTTGGATATTTCACACATCCATTATCTTAGATAAATCTCATATAGTCAATTTGGGTAATATTAATGAACATATCGTGTAAACATATGCAAGACAAAATGCGATTAGGATTCAGTCAGCATTTATCGGTTTCAAACAACTTACAACTTAATATTTGTTTGATTTGAAACAACTTAAAAAAAAAATTCACAAAAGTTATTACTAAAATTTCACAAAATTAATATTTGTCTGATTTGAAACAACTTAAAAAAAATTTCACAAAAGTTATTACTAAAATTTCACAAAAGTTATTACTGGTTTGAATATGATTTCATAAATGATTAAATAATAGAAATCAAAAGCAAACCTTGATTTGAAACAACTTAAAAAAAAAATTCACAAAAGTTATTATTGGTTTGAATATGATTTCATAAATGATTAATATTGTTTTACAACGGGATAATAGAAATCAAAAGCAAACCTAACAAAGAAGATCGAGTTAACCATGGATGCAAATAATATGATTTCATAAATGATTAAGGATAATAGAAATCAAAAGCAAACCTAACAAAGAAGATCGAGTTAACCATGCATGCAAATAATTTTTGCGGAAAAATCGTGACACTTCTAATAAATTCAAACCTTTATATATTTATAAATTTATATGAATTAATATATATATATTTTAAAAATATATGGAATAAATAAATTTTTATTGTAAAAAAAAGTGTGTATTTTTTATCTGGGTACGTTTGGATTTTTATAGTTAATATTCATATCATAATTGGATTTTGAACGGATATGAATTTAAGATGTGAACCATTCCAAAAATTGTAAATATATTTTTCCAATTCTCCCCATACATATATAACATAAAACACAATTCTAAACCATTAATGTATATTATTATTTCAGTAAAATATAATTTTCTTAATAAAAAATTTCATTAAATTAATATGTAAATTAAATAAACAAAAATGAGAGATAGAGAGAGAAAGAGAGGGAGTATTCTACATAGCCTAAGTTGAGGTACTTGCATTAACTCGACATTTAAAGCTGTCATATATTGCTCTTCTACTCTATTTAGGGTTTTATTTGTCTCCGGTAGCACGAAAAGTTTCCCATCTCCTTGATTCGATCCCGACAAAATGGTAAGCAACTCCGCCATACTCGATGTTCAATTAGCCAAGTTTTTTCCTGTAATCGATCAGCGCATTTTGGATTTTTGGATCTCGCCTGCACCAATTTTTTGGTTTCTATGTCCCAGGAAAATGGAGGGGAGACTCTGGAAGCAAAAATTGAGATGCTGCTGAACGTCGAGAAGCAAATGAGGCAGGTGGGTGACGTTTCCGGCACGCGGAAGGCCGTCACCGATATTCTAAAGCTCTGCCTTGAGGCCGGCGCGTGGAAGACACTCAACGAGCAGATTGTGCTCATCTCCAAGCGGCGTGGGCAGTTGAAACAGGTGCCTGTTAATTTCTTGAGATTGTTCAGTGCTTTTTTCCTTTTGTTTCATCTGTGGGTTAGTCTAGTTGAAACTACAAGTTCAATTGTCCATGCGTGCCTGCAGTCTCTTCACATTCGATTAGGGTTCCTGCTTTGTGGTGTTGATCTGGCTAACAATGTCGGCCGTTTGTGCCACAAGCCCTGTCACTTTAGTGCGAAAAATATGTTTCTGTGGCACTGTATGAGTGGTTTCTTCATGTAGATTAATTATTGACATATGATTTCTCGTTATTCTTTTTTAATCAGATTAGTTCGAGGTATGGAATTAGCGGTTCGTACTCTTCTGTGATTCTCTCGTTCTCTTGGTTAGTATTTTCAGGCTGTGTTGTGTTTTTATGTAGGTGAAAAGAAGTAATGATTGGTGCTCGTAATTATTCTGAAAGTTTTTACTCGGATAGCTCTTCTCTAAGGGTGTATTTAATTAGGATTTTTAAGGACTTTTTAAGACTTTAGAAATCCTGGTGTATTCAACTTAGATTTGTTAAGACTTTTTAAAACTTTTAAAAATCATGGGGTATTCAATTGGGATTTTCAAAAGTCTTACAAAATCCTGAGGTATTTAATTTTTTTGACACTAGGATTTATTAAGACTTTTTAAGATTTTGTGGGATTTCTAAACAAAAAACCTTATATGAAATCTCACTTCAAATCCTACCTCCGGACTTGAGATTTCATAGAATTCTTCCAAAATCTGAAAATCCTAGAAAGTCTCAAATCTCAAAAAGTCTTAAAATATCACTTAAATTCCGAATTGAATACACCCCCCTAAAATTTCGCTAGTGAAATTTCTAGTCCCTTTCCCTATTTAATTGAATATCTCAGAAAAATTCCAATTTTGGATAAGTTCATTGAATAAGTTTTCTTTTTGATGGAAGAATGCATTTGAAATTTCATTATTTGAGCTCACTAATCATCAATCACCTCTACCGGCCAAATCCGTAGAAAACCATCAAACTGACTTTCATCCTTAACTTTTATTGTGCCAGATAAATTATTTGTCCACATTAATTTTACCTATAACAGACCACACTGATCAACATTTTCAGTTATCTATCATTCATAAACTTTCATGTAACAACTAGTCAATTATCTCCATTTTAAGATGTAAGCTATTACTCTTCACTTAGTTTTTCTGTTAATTTCATATCCGTTCATGGAGATTAGTATCGTAGGTAGCAGATAAAGCTATTAACAATCATCTTGTACTTTTTACTAAGTATATTGCTCATTGTTTTTTGTAACAAAAAGTCATGTGGTTTACGTGATTTGTTATCTCGGTCGTTATATGTGTGATTGGACTGGGTAGTGGTATGAATTTACAATTGTGTTCTGAGATGTGGTCCTGAATTATCGTCTTGGTTTGTTGATGCAGGCTGTGCAAGCCATGGTCCAACAAGCAATGCTATACATTGACCAGACTCCAGATCTTGATACTAAAATAGAGCTTATCAAGACACTTAACAATGTGTCTGCTGGGAAGGTGATTCTTGTGTGGAAAACCTAAAAAACAATTAGTGTCAAGGACTCTGATTTTAATTTACTGGTTATTTTCTGTCAGATCTATGTGGAGATTGAGAGAGCTCGTCTGGTTAGAAAACTTGCAAAGATTAAGGAAGAACAAGGTCAAATAGCTGAGGCTGCAGACTTGATGCAAGAAATTGCGGTCAGGGGATGTCTTTTCATTAAGTCTTAGATCTTTTTCCTTGATTCATTAGTTGACACTTAAGTAGTTACCAACTTGCTGAACCAATGTGTGTAACAGGTGGAAACATTTGGCGCCATGGCAAAAACTGAAAAAATAGCGTTCATTCTTGAGCAAGTATGCATCTTTGTCCATTTTTATGTTTTTGAAGTGAATGCCTCACTAAATTGAAGATTGTTAATGTAACTGGAACCTCTTTTTTAATAATATGCAGGTCCGGTTGTGTTTAGATCGGCAGGATTATGTCCGTGCACAGATACTGTCGCGAAAAATTAGTCCTAGAGTGTTTGAAGCTGACATTTCAAAAGAAAAAAAGAAGCCTAAAGAAGGTGAAAACATTGTTGAAGAACCTGCTGCTGATATTCCATCGCTGTTGGAGTTGAAAAAGATATACTACCAGTTGATGATTCGGTACGTAGTGCGGTCCTTTTTCCTGTTTTCATATGTCATTTTGCACCATCTGTATGTGAATTTTATAGGTGCAGTAGTAGAACTCTTACATGTGTTGGATGCGCTCCATCCTGCAGATATATACATAGATGCGTGATGGTCGAACCGGTAGATTTTTTGCTGGCTTTTGCCTTTCGATAGACATTCATTCATCTAATGGCATTCATTGAGTTCCTTATTACTGAATTATGGGAAAACCATCTGTATAACTTCTATTGATGACTAATGGGCACTTCTTGCACTGGAGTTAAACCCTTAAGGAACTCTTTTTTGGCTTGTAATGACTACTGCTATCTCCATATGATTTTTTTCTGTTTGATCTCCGTTCATCTGCTTAGTGCTGAAGCTTGATTCTTTGAATCTTTACATGACTTGAAAATCCTTTTTATAACTTCTGAGTCGTGGTTAAATATGTAAGTATTAGCCTATCATACCACCCCCAGCCACTGTTTATGATTGACATGTCGTTTTTCACGTATTGAGAGGGAGTTATTTATTTGTCTTTCATCTTTTGCAGGTATTACATGCATAGCAATGATTACCTTGAAATATGCCGTTGTTACAAGTCAATATATGATATTCCCTCTGTGAAAGAAGACCCTGCCCAGTGGATACCGGTATATCATCTATATTGTGGTTGTCATTACTTCCAAATATTAGTATAGGGAATATATTTGCCTCACCTGGTCAGTTTGCTTTCTTTTGTTTCCATTGAATTATGAATTGTTTTTTATCATATGCTTCAGCTGTTGAGAAAAATATGTTGGTATCTGGCCTTGTCTCCTCATGATCCTATGCAGTCTAGCCTTCTCAATTCAACCTTGGAGGATAAGAACCTCTCAGAGATTCCTCATTTCAGGTCATTCCTGTAATACCTTTATGGCTATTGTTTTCATCTTCTTCACCAGCATTTGGTGCTCAAATCTTGTTGGTGCTTGTTTTATCCTTCCATTAGGTTATTGTTGAAACAACTGGTCACTATGGAGGTTATTCAATGGATAGCTCTGTGGGACACATTCAAAGATGAGTTTGAGAGTGAAAAGTACATGGTTGGTGGTTCTTTAGGTGAAAAGGCAGCTGAAGATCTGAAACTCAGAATAATAGAACATGTAATGCTCATAAAACTCACATCATGATAATGTTGGAAGATTCATGTCCATGGCCTTTTTCTAATGATATCGTTGGTCTGTTTCTTATATTCTACATCTATCTATCTATCTATCTATCTATATGTGTAATTGAGGAATGTGTTCATTGCAGAACATCCTTGTTGTCTCAAAATACTATTCACGGATTACCTTGAAGAGACTTGCAGATCTGCTATGCCTTACAGTCAAGGTCAGTCGTCATTTTGCTTCTGAATGATGCTTCACATCGCATGATCTTTAGATGAATGAGTATTGCTTGCTGACTTTAAGCATCCCCTATAGATTTTTGAACCTTTTTTGGCTTGTTGGGGGCATATCTTTGATGTTCTTTCCGTTTTAAAGTTTTTAGTTGTTAAACATTTACTCTAGATCCAAGTTTCATGTTGAAGAGGCATATGGGCAATCTGGCAATCTGAGAAAATCAGTTGATGCCTATTTTATTTGTACTCAATGACAAGTTGTGTTATGATGGAGGATATGAGACAACATGGAGGTATTGATTAATTGTTATTAGCTTACGCCATACTAATTTAAAGCGTGCAGATGATTTTATTTTAAATTTTACCAAGTCAGATTCAATAAATTGATTTGCAGCGTTTCTTTGCGGTTGGTAATATAATAACATATCTTAGTCAAATTTTCATTGATTCTTTTATTACTTGGATTAGTTGATGCAATATGGCCAGTGTGGTTCAATACCTACCTGTTTTGGCAAACGTTACTATCGGATTTTCATCTTTGTTTAAACAGCAGCATCCTCTTTCACAATGCAGGAAGCAGAGAAACATCTCTCGGATATGGTTGTCTCGAAAGCATTGGTGGCAAAAATCGATAGACCTGTGGGCGTGATTAGTTTCCAATCGGCCAAGGACAGCAATGACATTTTAAATTCATGGGCATTGAACTTGGAGAAGCTGCTCGACCTTGTTGAGAAGAGTTGCCACCAAATCCACAAGGAGACAATGATCCACAAAGCTGTGCTTAGAGTTTGAGAACTTCTTCTTTGTTAAAAACGGGTAACTACAAAACTTACCCGTTTAGGTTTGGTCTCATCAGCCATTACCCAGGGAGGAAATAAAAATTCCAGTTAATTGTAAAATAACAAATACTGAAACGCCCTTCAGATAACAAATTACTACTATCAGGACTGCAAATTATAAAATAGATATGACAAGTATGTTCCTTTTTGTCTCTCTCTCTCTCTCTTCTGTCTTTTATTTTTTTTTTTTTTTTTTTTT